ATGAGATTGTCTTGAGAGAGGTTTTATTATTCCTTGCACCAGTTCCTGCAGTACTCCCATTTTCCTTGTCAAGGAACCACATGGGAAAGGATGGAGATTTGTACAAAACTTAAGGGCTGTAGACAATATTATAATACTTAGATATCCAGCACTTCTTAACCTTCATACTCCTGTCTGCCATACCAAATGTCAGACAATATTTTTTAACTTTTTTTTTTGTTGTTGTTGAGAGAATCTCAGTCTGTCTTCTAGGGTGGAGTGCATTGGCACAATCTTGGCTCACTGCAGCCTCCACCTCCTGGGATCAAGTGATTCTCCTGCCTCAGCCTGCCAAGTAGCTAGGATTACAGGTGTACACCACCATGCCCAGCTAATTTTTGTATTTTTTAGTAGAAACAGGGTTTCATGATGTTGCCAGGCTGGTATCAAACTCCTGACCTTAAGTGATCTGCCCACCTTGGCCTCCCAAAGTGCTGGGATTATAGGTGTGAGCCATTTTTCCCAGCCCTGACAATATTTTTCAGTTGTGGATCTCTGTAGCACCTTTTTAAGCATCCCTATATATCCATGTGGTCAGTATTTGTTTGCCTTTATAATGATGGTATACTTGAACTGTGATGTCACAGAGTTAGACAGCGCCCCACTTACTTTTCCAAAATACTGAAATTTGAATTTAGCAGACTCAGACTTCTCTCAGGGGATCCTTACACACTTTGCTCTGACACACGTTCTTCCTCTGAAGAAGAAAACTTGTACTTACTTCAATTGGCCATTAAAGAGTACAAGGCGTCTAAAGATAAACTTTAATTTTGCCTTTCTTAAGTCAGATATGTGGAACATGTCATGTCAGACAAAGGATTGAACATCCGTCCCGATATAATCAAAGGAATCTTAGCTTTTTTGATGCTTACTACTAAAAAATAGCTTAGAGGGTTCTTGGAGTTGGCTTGCTATTGTAGAAGTTGGATACTAAATTTATATTGTGTGACCTGACCCTTTTATACCTATTTAAAGAATAACCAGCCTGATCCCATCATGTGGACTTGTGAGGGACAACCAGCCGTGCAGCAAATTAAAGGAAGATTAGTAGGCCAGGTGCGGTGGCTCATGCCTATAATCCCAGAATTTTGGGAGGCCAAGGTGGGCAGATCACTTGTGGCCTGGAGTTCAAGACCAGCCTAGGCAACATGGTGAAACCCCGTCCCTACTAAAAATATAAAAATTAGCCAGATATGGTGGCAAAATGCCTGTAATCCCGATTATGAGGGAGACTGAGGCAGGAGAATTGCTTGAATTTGGGAGACAGAGGTTGCATGAGCCAACTGCATTCCAGCCTGAGTGATAGAGTGAGACTTTGTCTTAAAAAAAAAATAATAAATTAGTAAATGCCCCAGCAATATGACACCCAAACTATGAACTTTCTCTTTTTCTGTTCATGAGGTGGAGGAAACACATTTGGTATGTTGACTCACTCAGACATGGTGACCAGCAAAGACCTAGATCTGATGACTCCAGGACTGCCCCCTTGTATGAGGGCAATATCAGCTACAGCCTTTCTATATAAAACTATTGAAAAGATAGTCATGGTTGTCCCCACCTTACCGCCTTCATTCCATATTCAATTGAGGGTACTGCCTAACGTGGTGAATTCTCATTATACTCAATCAACACTTTTCTGTTAATAAATTAGCTTCCTATTAAGCAGGTGTCCCCAAACTACGGCCCACGGGCCGTATACGGCCCCCTGAGGCCATTTATCCGGGCCCCACGCCACACTTCAGGAAGGGGCACCTCTTTCATTGGTGGTCAGTGAGAGGAGCACAGTGTGTGGCGGCCCTCCAACGGTCTGAGGGACAGTGAACTGGCCCCCTGTGTAAAAAGTTTGGGGATGCCTGCTATTAGGTCTTACTTTTATCATCCTCTAATGCAGGCGTCCCCAAACTTCCCCAGGCCAAGTCAGCCCAACTGGCTGAACTGATTGCCGTGACTCAAACTTGTCAACCAGCAAAGAATAAGATGGCCAATTATGCCCCTGTGCGTCTGGTGGTGCTCATGACTTTGGAATGCTATGGGTTCTCAGGGCAACCCATAACAAATGGACAAGTCTTGGAGTTCTCTTTTGGCAATTATAAAGGTTCCTGGCCACTCTGAATTAGATACAACGTAGAGTCAAGGTAATCAATTTGCTAATGCAGTAGCTAAGAGAGCTGCATTTGAGTCACCAGACCAATCCTGGGGATGACTGTGATACTTAAACAGTTAAGTCTATGCTAAAGGAAAGCCAGGACTTCGCTTCCACAGAAGAAAGATCTACCTGGAAATGAAACTGGGGATACTTTTTCCCCAAAACTGAACTACGGTATGGACCTAATGATAAACCGTTAACCCAGTGGCTTTCAGATGCCCCTCATGGAATACATTTACGGCTTGACCTATTGGAATTCGGATAAAATGATATACTATTATAAACAGTATTGTTGGAGACTATCATTGATCATCATGGCACAGAGGATTTATTCCATCTACCCAAAACATAATCCTGGAAAACTCCTTTATGGGACTCAAGGCCATTTTCTTCTACCTAGACCTTTTGAGCTACCGTAGCTTGATTTTATCCAGCTGCCACCGTTTTAAAAATTAAATATGTATTGGTAATGATTGCATGTTCTTGCATTAGGTTGAGGATTTCCCCTGCTGATGGGCGATGACACTGGGTAAAATCTTATTAGAAAGGATTATCCCATTTTGGGGAGTCCCCTTTGAATTTCACAGCTAATAGGGGAACTCATTTTACTGCCTAGATTATTAAGCATTTGTAAAATTTGGGGCTGGGCACGGTGACTCACGCCTGTAATCTCAGCACTTTGAGAGGCTGAGGTGGGCGAATCACCTGAGATCAGGAGTTCAAGACCAGCCTGGCTAATGTGGTGAAACCTCGTCTCCACTAACAATACAAAAATTAGCTGGGCATGGTGGTACACACCTATAGTCCCAGCTACTCGGGAGGCTGAGGGAGGAGAATTGCTTGAACCTGGCAGGCAGAGGTTGCATTGAGCCAAGATCGTGCCACTACACTCCAGCCTAGGTTTTTTTTTTTTTAAACCAAGAGTGAGACTTGGTTTAAAAAAAAATGGCCTATATTTCAATATTTTGATTGTGCTTACCACCCTTAGTCCTCAGGATTGGTAGAATGGAGCAATGGAGTAATAAAACACAATGGGCTAAACCTGGATTGGTAGAATGGACCAATGGAATAATGAAAACACAGCTGGCTAAATTTATGAAGGCTTTTCACCTCTGCTGGCCGAAGGCACTCCCCTTGATATTGCTCAACCTTTGATCCATCTCTTTATCAACTCTTTTCTCATAAAATTGTAACTGGAAGACCCAGGCACATGGGAATCAAGGTGACTGATCCAAATTTACTGAATGGGGACATCTTGCACGATTGTAACAGACTTGTTCACCAACTCATGAAAAGCCAGGCCTTAGTGCAAGACACATCCCACAGTACGCTCCTGGGAGATGAAGATTCTGGTCATGTCCTCCAACCTGGAGATTTTGTCTGTTGGAAAAGATTTCTTGTAAAGGACTCCCTCCAGCCATGGTAGAGGGGCCCCTGCCAGGTACTGTTGACTCATCCATGGGCAGCAGAGTTAAAGGGTGTAGACTCATGGATCCGTATCTCTCACCTTAAAAAGGCACAACTTCCTGAATGGACCATGACTCCCACCAAAGATCCATGTCTCTGATTCACCAAACAGCTTCAACCCTGAAACCAAGACAAGAGGTTGACAACATCTGAGTGGACAGCTAATTGACCCAAGACTTCAGACCAGGCCTGTATGATCTCCTGTCTAAACATTCTTAGAGTAATATATTTACTCTGGGGATTATTGGCCTTGTCTGCTTTGACTCAGTTTATAGGATAAATAATCTGGTTAACATTTCTATACACATGATGGCCACCTATATATATACACTTGACTTTTCAGGGTCTCTGCTGGGGTTGGGAAAAATAGTTCATTAGTTAAACTCTCCCAAAGTGTGGCAGATGGAGGCATTGTCTTAGATTGCTGGATTTGTCACCACCTTCCAAGGGCCATTCAAGATCATTACATGCTACTTGTTGTGCCAATGATTGATTTTTCTGACACTCCAAATGTTAGTATATACTTGCATGAGTTCCCTCCAAATGTCACTTTCCAAATTCAAATTCAGCTTCTAAAGACAAGCCATACCCTCACGCCTGTCAATCACTAAACCAATCAGGTACAAATTCTCTAACTTATCTAGAACACATACTTAAGTCTTCACCTTTTCCGGACCACTGTCACTGCACATTCCTGGCCTCCTAACATTTCTGTCATATCTGGCAACCGAAAGTCCAAAGGAGAAAAAGTAAAGCAAATTGTGCCAGCACATCTCATTTGTTAAATATCATGCTTATGCAGGCTTTTGTAAGGCCTGCAGTAAAACCAATCTGTGGCTCACTTATGTTTTAAACACCTTACCCATGAATGAATAGTTAGGGGATACATTTTGGTATGTGGCATTGGGCCATACCCACCAACCCAAGGAGGGGACATAGTGTAAATATCTGGCAAAATAGCTGGCAAATTGAAGGGCTTTGTCTTCTTGGGCATTACATTGCCTTTTTTTGTTCGTTTGTTTGAGGGAGGGTCTTATTCTGTTGCCCAGGCTGGAGTCTGGTGGTGGTGTGATCATGGCTCACTACAGCCTTGACCTCCCTAGGCTCAGATGATCCTCCCACCTCAGCCTCCTGAGTAGCTGGGACAAGGAGTCTGTGCAGTAGCTCACACTGCCTGCTGCACTTATATCAATACCTCAGGTGAAGTAGAGACTTGCATAGAAAGGATTTCCAGGCAAGCTAAATGGTTACAAAAGGCACAAACTACCCATCTTCTCAATGACCCACTTAATTGGCTTCCTTTGGAACTGGAGCATTTCTTCCAGTCTGCAGTTGGAACCCTTTTTCATGTCAGATGGTTAAAGTGCTGATGTCATAACAAGGTTTCAGGGAGGCACATCTCACACATGTGTGAATGCCCAATCATCACTTAAAAAATGACAAAAAGATCTCAAACCTTGATATAATCATAGTCTGTATCCTACTTCTGTTACTATCAGTGAAATTACTCAGGGTATTTATAACCAACTGCTGTTAAGTCTGTTGCTAAAACCAGAATTATGGGCCAGGTGCAGTGGTCTACATGCAATCCTAGCACTTGGCAGGCCAAGGTGGGAGGATTGCTTGAGGCTAGGAGTTTGAGACCAGCCTGGGCAATATAGTGAGACCCTGTCTTGATTAAAAAAAAAAAAAATAGCATGGCGCGGTGGCTCAAGCCTGTAATCCCAGCACTTTGGGAGGCCGAGGTGGGTGGATCACGAGGTGAAGAGATCGAGGCCATCCTGGTCAACATGGTGAAACCCTGTCTCTACTAAAAATACAAAAAATTAGCTGGGCATGGTGGCGTGTGCCTGTAATCCCAGCTACTCAGGAGGCTGAGGCAGGAGAATTGCCTGAACCCAGGAGGCGGAGGTTGTGGTGAGCTGAGATCGCGCCATTGCACTCCAGCCTGGGTAACGAGCGAAACTCCGTCTCACACACAAAAAAATCACCTCTCCCCCAATTATGATAGCACAATGTAGATAGAATCATCCTGTAAGCTTAGCAGCAGATTACACTACATACCCCTGGAATGCCTGCCTCAGGCCTAGATCAGCCTCATCTTGCCTCTTTCCGTCCAGTGTGGGATGTGACTTCTGGGAATGAGCCTTCCCAATGAAGAGGAATTTGTATTCTCTAAAGAGAAATTTTGATCAAAAGGGGTAAAATATGGAAATAAAAGGAAAAATGAATTGACACAGCCTCTTATAAATATTTGTTCTGGCTCAGGAATTTGTACATGCAAAGGCAGCTATGTCAGATAAGTGTTACAACTGCCCATAAATAGGCATGTTTTAACTGTAACCCTGAAATCTTGAAAAACATCTTGAAATGTTTTTTCTGTTTCAAGGACTTTAAGAAAACATGTTGTAGATAAACAGGTAGATGATGATGATAGTGTCAGAAGAAAAGAGAAAAGTGCGCCAAGATGGCTGCAGTTTGGGCATACGGGTAATAAAACCATAGCCTGTTAACTAAGGCTGACCGCTTGTGTATGTGTAACTGGAGTTTGTTAAATATTTTACTAACAGGTACTGGTTGTAAACTTGTGTGTCAGATACAGAACGAGGGCAGGATGGAATCAATCATCCTTCCGCCAGACCCTGAGATGCCTACACAATTATTAATCTTTCTCTCCTATCCACTCAGCCACGTTTACCTTATGTGTAACATCACTGAATATCAGTCAAATTGTCACGAATGTAATTGCTGCTTCACTGTACTGCAGTTATCCCCCTGTTTAAAATAATGTGTGAATACCGTGCCTCATATAATCTACATTGAAACACAGGTTATAAGCTATTGGAACGTGTGCTTCCTGGGTGCACATCCTTAAGCTTGGCCTAATAAACTTTGTTTGACTGAGATTCAGATTCCCATCTTGGTCTCTCATTTGGGTTGACATACCTATTAGGAGACTGGCGTCCTAGATGCTGAATTTATAAAGATGATAAAGACAAGTGAATTCCTAACCCAGTTTTATTTTATTTTATTTTTAACTTTTTTTGAGATGGAGTCTTGCTCTGTCGCCCAGGCTGGAGTGCAGTGGTGCGATTTTAGCTCACTGCAACCTCTGCCTCCTGGATTCACACAATTCTCCTGTCTCAGCCTCCCAGTTAGCTGGGACTACAGGTGCATGCCACCATGGCTGGCTATTTTTTTTTTTTTTTTTAATTGTTAGTAGAGACAGGGTTTCACCGTGTTAGCCAGGATGGTCCCGATCTTCTGACTTCGTGATCTGCCCACCTTGGCTTCCCAATACTGAGATTACAGGCATAGCTCCTGGCCCTTCTTATTTTTAAATATCTAAAAAACAGGCTTGCCGGGCGCGGTGGCTCAAGCCTGTAATCCTAGCACTTTGGGAGGCCGAGGCGGGTGGATCACGAGGTCAAGAGATCGAGACCATCCTGGTCAACATGGTGAAACACCGTCTCTACTAAAAATACAAAAGATTAGCTGGGCATGGTGGCTCGTGCCTGTAATCCCAGCTACTCAGGAGGCTGAGGCAGGAGAATTGCCTGAACCCAGGAGGCGGAGGTTGCGGTGAGCCGAGATCGCGCCATTGCACTCCAGCCTGGGTAACAAGAGTGAAACTCCGTCTCAAAAAAAACAAAAACAAACAAACAAACAAACAAACAAAAACAGGCTTACTGAGATCATTCACATACCGTAAAATTCACTCACTTATATACCATAATATTCACTCTTATAATGTGTACGATTCAGTGGCTTTTTGTATGCTTAGAGTTTTGCAACAATACCACTATTTAATTTGAGAAGACAAATGACAGTTTACAATTCGTATTTTAAGTTTTTCCTGATTTTTGACTTCATTTCAAAGCTTCCTTTTACTTTTCTTTCCCCCAAACACATGCTTAAAGGTGAGATTGTATGGGGTCTGTTCTCAGGTGTTAACTGTTAATCAATTAGAAAGCAGATAAGCCGGGCGCAGTGGCTCAAGCCTGTAATCCCAGCACTTTGGGAGGCTGAGGTGGGTGGATCACGAGGTCAAGAGATCGAGACCATCCTGGTCAACATGGTGAAACCCCGTCTCTACTAAAAATACAAAAAATTAACTGGGCATGGTGGTGCATGCCTGTAATCCCAGCTACTCAGGAGGCTGAGACAGGAGAATTGCCTGAGCCCAGGAGGCGGAGGTTGCGGTGAGCCGAGATCGCGCAATTGCACTCCAGCCTGGGTAACAAGAGTGAAACTCTGTCTCAAAAAAAAAAAAAAAGAAAGCAGATAGTATTACCTTTCTTCTTTAAAACATAGTGCCGAGTGATATGATGCCTATGAGAATACAGGTAAAATTCACAGATAGTTTCATAGCTGATGCTGTTATTTGAACAAATAAGATAGATTTTACTGGAGGAATCATTTAATATTGCACAAATTTGATACTAGGAAAGCAGTATTCTAAAGAACCACTGGGTTGCTCGAAAAAACAAATCTCCAGTTTAAAATCAAGTTATGCCATGCCCATCCACTACTTTGTCAAATATATAATGTAACTTGGTTTCACAAGCCATTTTGTGTCCTTGGTTTTCCTCCAGAGATTAAGTAGTGTTTTTTTTTGTTTTTTAAAAACATTAATGGGTTTGTAGATTTTTGAAAATACTTTCAGTTGATCTCAGGAATCCCCAAACCTCAAAATGGTTAAACATCAACCACTGCTTAACTTGGTTGCTGTAAACAAAACCCAAAATGAAACCCCTGTGTATCTGCTGCAGATTCCCAGGTGCCTCTTAAGTGTGGGGATAAGCTCAGAAAAGGCTTAATAGTTTTATTAAGTTGTCATCCATTAAAAGGTTCACATGCTCCTTGTGTGTTACATAAGGACAGGCAACTTTTATGCATTTCTCACTGAGCATTGCCTAGGAAAGAGGGTAAGCTCTAGGATTTAGATCCTTCTCAGATGTTCAGGCAGAAGAATTTTGTCAGGACAAAAGTAAGGTCATGGAGCTATATAAAAATGGATTATGCGTCTTAAGACATCTCCCCTATGTTTAAGAAGAATATTCCTCAGATGATGAACGGAATATCTTGCCAGGGGCTGGTGGGTAAGTTTTGTGGAGGTCCTCACCAGCAGAAAAAAAATAATTGGCTGATTAAAAAGAAAACCTCAGTATTTACCTCTAACCCTAACATCCTTAACAGCTTGCTAGTGTGGTAACTGGCATAAACTATGGGGTCTTGGTTAAATCCAACCTCAGTGAAGGTAGTTCACATCGTAGAGATAAACTGAATGCTGATAGCTTTGAGGACTTGTTCATTTGGGGGAAGGGAAAGAGATTGTGAGGATGGAGATAGGAATCTATCTGTCATAATTGGATTTGATCTGTGTATTAATGGAATGAACTGGCCTTTTTTGTTCTGCTTCTTTTGTCCTTGCTGAGAAGAGGGGCTGAAGTTTCCAAGGGCTATGGGTGAAGCTGGAGGGTATTAGAGGAACTGCTCTCTGACCTTCTTGATGGTAATGCAAGCTGTTGGGGGAGTTTGGAGAACACTGCAGGGCAGTATGCGGATGAGAGCTGTATTACATTTTGCCTTGAAACAGTAATATACAAAGTAAAGCAATAACTGCTCTTCTGCTTTCCTGTTTCCGAAATCTTCTGTCATTTGATACTGTTTTTTCCAGAGCAACATGTGACTATTTTCTTCAGGATTTTCTTTTCAGTTATCATACGGGTTTGTTGTTGGATTGAGAAAAAAATATCTGCCTCATTCGAACAGGCCTCTCTAGACCTTTTCTTACTACTGTGTAGAGGGTACTTTCTCATTTTTCTTCCTCTCAAAGCTATCAAATTCCCAAGCATTCAACTAAAATTATTATCAACTAAAAAAAAAAAAAAAAAAAAAAAAAAAAAACAACCAAAACCGATTTGTTTTTTTTTTTTTTTTGAGACAGAGTTTCGTTCCTGTTACTCATGCTGGAGTGCAACGGCGCGATCTCGGCTCACCGCAGCCTCCGCCCCCTGGGTTCAGGCAATTCTCCTGCCTCAGCCTCCGGAGTAGCTGGGATTACAGGCACGTGCCACCATGCCCAGCTAATTTTTCGTATTTTTAGTAGAGGCGGGGTTTCACCATGTTGACCAGGATGGTCTCCATCTCTTGACCTCATGATCCACCCACCTCGGCCTCCCAAAGTGTTGGGATTACAGGCGTGAGCCACCGCGCCGGGCCCTAAAACCAATTCTTAGGGATAACTGTTTAGACTTAATTACTGAAGAGTATCAAGGTTTTCTGCCTTGCCCCATCTCATTCTTTTGCCTGCCTCTCTCACCAGCAAAAACATTGAAGAGGAACACTTTATTAACAATAGCTTGTTTGAAGGGAAGTTTCAATTTTTAGCTAATTATTTGCTAATAAAAGTTTTAAAAAATATTTTTCTTTAAAAGTTCTAAAAC